GGTGCGATGGGTCCCCGCTCCTACCCCCGCGTCTGATGGCGCTCGTCTGCCGACCCCTGCGGTCCGCGGAAGGGCAAAGCGTGAGGATCCGCAGTTGGGTGTAAAGAGAATCCCGAGTAACCCGCACCGCCGACCTCCTCGGGCGTGTGGGTGGTGGTGGGTGCCAGCTGTGCGGGCTGGATGCAGAACAGCCTTCCCCGAAGTTCTTCACGGTGTAAGACGTGGAGGACACCCGCTTCTGGGGTTTTTGTGTTGTTTCGTATCTAGTCTGCCATTCATTTGACTGCATTGAAGACTTCTTACAGGTTTTCTTCTGGAGGGGCTTTTTCACCTGCATGTGTCACAGCATAGCAAAAAGCATCAATCGTATCGCTTGAGCAAGTACCACCAGCTCTTTGTGATGGAAAACAAACAAATAGCTAGAGGAAAAGAAGGAAATAAGAGCAGGTAGCAGGTGAAAATTTTTATCCTTCTGTACAAGGGATTGAATAATGAACTCAGATCTTCATGTTTGGCCTTTAAAGTAAACTCACAGTCAGCTTAAGGCGTATATTTTTTATATAGGCCCCTGTATTACATACCTATGTGAGGTATTTGTAGAAGGCTGTTGGGGATTGTCAGTCTCCTCTTTCAGTTTGGTTTCTAATTCGAGTCAAGTTTAGCCTTCATGAATTCCTGTGTGGGTTTGTGTCTCGGCCTTACAAATTCCCTGGAGCAGACAACTTATTATTTTTTTAATTATGAAAGATTTAAATATTAGTTTCGACATCATGGTAATGATGCATGCGGCCATTTCATCGAACAGAAGAGCCAGCTGTTGTTGGTGCTGTTTGCTTTTGCTGTACTTCATCGGGATTTTGTTGGCCTGGGTGAATGGTGGACTCTTAAGTGGATGATCAGGACTCCAGACAAGTTAACACCCCAAAAGGCAATAGGGGTGAAACATGGGAGGCAGGACTCTAGGTGAATTTTTACTTGATGAAAAATGTGTTTGGCTCGCAATTGCTCGTTATCGTTCATTTAATTCAAGAGGACACTCTTGATGTCTCTTTTAATGATACAGGTGCCATAGTTAAAGTAAAAATTGTGTCATTAAAACTCACTGCCCTTGCAAGCTTACTTAAATAGAAACTATATTGATTGCACTGGTAATCAACATAAAACAAATCCAAAATGGGACGGACAAATTTCAGTTTTATCTTACTAAATAGAAACTCCAGAGAAAAAATAGAAATCTTTGCTTCCTCACTACTTCTGTGGTGAGTGAACTCTGCTGCTCGTGGTAAGAAAGATGGGCAGAATTGATGATGATATCCTGAGCAACATGTTCATTAAAGCATGTCCTGCTGCTGTTCTAGTGTTACTGTAATTTGAATTATTCCAATTAAAGCTGTGAAGTTAATATATCACTGTGGTACGTATGAGACTGTGTGTGGGAGTATTACTAGAGAGGCATAATTTAGACTTACTGCACAGAATTATTCTGTAATAAGTGTTGCGGTTTATATTAACACCCACCCTAATCTAAGTTAATTTTACAGGGTGGGCAAACCCCCTGGCTTTCAACAGTCTTTTGCCTTTTTGTAAAAAATTAATTTTCGGTTGAGGGTTTTCTTTGATAATGAGTATTTATTTTTAAATGAGCCGTGACTCTCCAATACACATTGTATTGTTCTATTTACGGTTATGTAGGGCAGGACTGTTCAGCTTTTTCAACCAGGAACAGGTTTCTGGGGCAGACAGAAGTTCTCAAAAGCAAAACCAAACTCCTGTTGTCCTGAAAGAGCAAGAGACCATCTTTTGGCACTACCTGGTTCATCGTTTACTGGACGTACGATGCTGTTGTAGGAGTTTTAACAAACTAGACAACAACAGTTATATGAAGTTGAAAAAATGGAATGTTTTCTGGTTTGTGGTTGTTGCACACTAGCTGCTGTTTTATTGGATGAGACACATAAGGTAGGACCATGCTTTATGAGATTAGTCAAAAAAAGCTCATGTGTCTCTTCAGTGAAATCTAGTTTTATTTGTGTAGCTTATAGGATAGACTTTCTGATCTGTATTTAATAAAATTACTTGTGGATTTTAGGTTCTGCCAAAATGGAGCTGAGTGATGCCAATTTACAGACTTTAACTGAGTATCTAAAGAAAACACTAGACCCAGATCCTGCTATAAGGCGCCCTGGTAAGTGATTCTCATCAGTGACCAGAAAAGTTTGGTTTCTTTTAGGCTCTTCTGTCTATGTATAGCAAACTTCAGTGGATGTTTGTGCAATAACCTCTTTGCAGAAGTTCTCAGTATCCTTTTTAAAAAGTCAACACCGAATGAAGTATGGATATAAATTTAACTTTGTTTGCTTTTTGTAATTTTTATTTTCTTGTATTCATGGGTTGTTTTTTGGTTGTGGGTTTTTTTTTGATACTACTGTTATTTAAAACAGTGCTGCTGTTCAGAATAAACCAGGTTTTACTTTCAGCAGGTTATGGCTTTTAAAAACAGTGAGGTGGCAATATTTTCACATCCTGCTTGGAATTGAGCACTTCTGTTAATAGCAGAAGTGTTAAAGAGCTTAATAGTAAAGAAGCTACTGTACCTTTTGTCAGACTTGTTCTTGTTTCTAATTTTGTGAAACTGGGGAAGTGTTCACGTGTTGATTATTTGAAATAGAGACTTGGGGAGTCCTAGGACTGGCATTAGAAAACTGCGTTCGGCTTTTGCTGACCTTAGTATATTCTCTTACAGCGGAGAAGTTTCTTGAGTCGGTTGAAGGAAGCCAGAATTACCCATTGCTACTGTTAACACTGCTGGAGAAGTCACAGGAAAATGTCATCAAAGTTTGTGCATCTGTAACCTTCAAGAATTATATTAAAAGGAACTGGAGAATTGTAGGTATCCTAGTGAGTAGTTATGCCAAGATTTAGTGATCCTTTTAAGATACTGTAAGATATTCTACAGTAGCCTTGGAGAATGTGTGTATGTCTGTACTCTGTGAAAGAAAGAGTCATAGAATGGTTTGGGTTGGAAGAAACCTTAAAGATCAAAAGCAGATTATTCAGAGAACAAACACAAGCTGTAGTTTACCGATGAGGGACTAAAATCTGGACTGTTGGACTCCGTTCTGTTAAAAAAAACTAGAGCTGGGTGATAAAATGATGAACAAATAATTGTCTCTAATATTACGTGTATATTTTGCAGAAGCACAATATTTAAAGCTCACTTAACTAATGGTAGTATTATTTAAACTAAAATGATTGCGACGTGTCTGTACACGTGAGCTGGTCAATTTGGCCTGTTTCTATTGTCATAGTGTTACAAACATTCCAAGCCAGCACTGCAGCTGAAGTGGCTTTCGGCTGATCCTAGCTTCTCTTTCATGTAAATGCTTCTGGGCTGCGGGACAGTTTATTTTGGTGGCCTTGGCAGTTTAACACTTTGAGGTATTTGTAGGCATCAGATAGAAATATGGCTATTTAATCCTATTTTAGACTTAGTTTTGAAGAAGTCAGACATTTTTGATTTGGAGCTTTCAGTATGTCATCATTCTGTCTCAGTTCGTAGCAATGTACAAACTGCATGTCATCTCTCACCCCCGGCGGCCTCCCCACCCCAACATTAAGGAGCTCTAGCAGCCCTAGATCGGTTATGTTTGATAGGATCAGCACGTTCAGTCTAGCATGAGGTGTCTAGAGCTTTGTTTCTGTGATACTATATATTTCAGTCATTTCTCCCCAATTACATCTTTTCTGTAATATATGTTGTAAGTAGAAATGATGTTCTGTTACAAAAAATATTATAGGTGGCTTCCTTTTTTATGGATTGCTGAATGTGATTCAGGATGAGATTTTGTTCTGGAGTAGATGGAGATGCTGTGCAGTAAGTGCATCCAGCACCGTTGTGATTGCAGTATGGCTTCAAGCACATTGTTTTGTCCAAAATTGAAGCTTTCATTTCAAGAGCAGCTGTATGAACATAAAATACAGCCCTAAGGCCAGCCTACCTACATCACATGGTTTAATGTAGCAGCCTTGGACTTGGCTGATACAAAACTCAGTGGGAGTCAGAGGGTTTTGCCTGCTCAAGGACTTGATTTGCTCGAGCTTGGAGAGCTAGATGTACAGGGTGCTTCTGGAGAGAGGGAAGAGTTGCTTTTTTACATTTATTTTTCAAGTACCTACAGAATACTTGCCTATGTGCTGCCTCTCACTTGTAAAAAGGTCTTTTTTTCTTTGAAAAAATCTCATTAAGAACTCCATAGTAGGATTTGTTGTTGCTGCTCTCTCCTTCATCTTTGTCCTTATCTATCTAGATGCCTAGTGTCTGTCCTGCCTTCCTGCTTGGAGCTTGCCTAGTACAATTAGTGCTGCCTATCATATCATTTAAACTTGTAAAGCTCAGGTTCAAAGATAATCTTATTTTTGTGGGGCTTAATGCATATATAATGGTTCTGTACATTCTTCTGATTCAGTGCAATGTGACAGAAGCTGAAAAGCGAGTTGTTTGTGTCTTACTTAGCTTTAGCTGTAAGGAAGCACCTACAAAACTCCTGAAATTTTGAAATTATTAAACTTTTAAGTTTATGAGAAGATGGTAAAAGGGAGGTAAGAAGGAGGGTAGTAGTGCCATCTGGTTTAAACATTTTAGAATCTTTGCTTTACTCTCTGGAGGTACATACCTCTTAATTGTTGCATAATTTCTACGTTTCTGAACTGTGCTGCTGTCACCACAGATAATATGACTGTCACTGCTGTCCCTGGTTGGTGACAAGCCTCCTTATTTTATTTCTTTAGTAGAAAGTTTGAAATTTACTACCACTTGGCACTGTTGGCTGACTGGACTTGGAACCAATTGATATTTTGAACTGATTAGATAACTCTTAAAGTCCATGTTACGGTTTGGATGGTGCAGCCTGCACCCATGTGCAGTTTCTGGAAAGTACAGCTTGAGGTAACTTGCACAAAATCAATCTTCGGGGTTGGCAGAAGTGAGGACAGAGATGTGGTTTGGTGTGGTGGAAGAGGGAGACTGTTGTTTAAACTTCGGTGTGTTATTGGCACATGCACCCTTCCTTTGTATGGCTGAAGTGCTGAGCTGAAAAGTCACCATCGGAGGAGAAAACTAGTTCAAGATTTTATTAAAGATGTCATTTCTTTCAGCTTTTTTCAGGTACTTCTGGTAGAGATTCACTGTAGGCAGTATCTTGAACAGATCTGCTGAGTTTCTTTAACTGTGTAATAGTTACATAAATGAGTATAAGCAATTGGTTTCTGAAATGCTGGTTGTATTGTTGCCCTGGGTATACTGATATGCCTGTGACTTAATTATTGTTTTAATTTTAGGTTGAGGATGAACTGAACAAAATATGTGAATCAGACAGGATAGCAATTAAAGCCAACATAGTGCCCTTGATGCTTAGCAGCCCAGAACAAATTCAGAAGCAGGTAATATGTCATTTCCTAGCTGTGTGCATGAGACTTTTGGGATGTTTTAAGTGTGTGTAGAGAATCTGGTTATCGGCAGAGCTCAGTTCCCTTACCGATGAGGTCATCCCAATCCAAGGAACTTGGAGTATGTTGCTGTAGCTACTTCTGCCTAGGTTTTTTTTGGTTTTTTTTTTTTTTTAAGGCAATTAAAAAACAAGTGTATAATCTTACAGCTGAGTTCTACCATTAGGCAGTTAAATACTGTGAGGCTGCGTGTACACCTTGGATTTAAAGTGAGATTTCTTTGTTTGTGGGGAAAACTAGTAGATATTTAACCCAGCGATTTTTGAATCTGACAATAATAAGCATTTTTCTTAGATATTTCCAATATCTGGCATGACTGCTGGTTTTCTGTAGTGAGGAGTCTGCTTTTACATCATGTAATGGTTATGTTTCCTTTCCAGTTAAGTGACGCTATCAGTATTATAGGTCGGGAAGACTTTCCTCAGAAATGGCCAGACTTACTGACAGAAATGGTGAATCGCTTTCAAAGTGGAGATTTCCATGTCATTAACGGGGTCCTGCGCACTGCTCACTCTTTATTTAAAAGGTATTGGAAATAAGGGACTTAGTGTCTGCGTTGTAGATTTCTGTTCTACTCTGAATTTTTACCATTAGACTTTGTAAGTCTACTACATCACAGCTGTACCTTCTACTTAGGCTTATTCTATTTTTCCTGTATTTCTCTTCTGCTTGTCAGGTACCGCCATGAATTTAAGTCAAATGAACTATGGACAGAGATCAAACTGGTCCTTGATGCCTTTGCTTTGCCCTTGACAAACCTCTTTAAGGTATTTCTTTTTTAATAATTGCTAAAACAGTTTTTGCATTCTGAAATACTGAAATACAAACTGAATACTTAAGAATGACTACAAAATGGAAAGTTAATAATAGGTTTTTTTGAAGCTGCTGGTGAGGTTCAAACTCAAGTCATGAATGAGACCTGACAGGATCAATAAGGGGAGGAAAAGGAACTCTTAGGGTTAAAAAAAGAAAGTTAATGACACTTCTCAGTACCTCTTCTCATTATGCTTTGTGTGCGTGTGTGACTTAACTGAATCTTCTCTCTTTTTCCAGGCCACTATTGAACTTTGCAGCACGCATGCAAATGATGCTAGTGCTTTGAAGGTTCTCTTCTCTTCTCTCATTCTAATTGCGAAGCTGTTCTACAGTTTAAATTTTCAGGTGAATCTCCTTGTTCTTCTAATAGTTCAGCTTTGATCGCACGAAGCCATTACGCTTTTATTTGTAGGATCCACTTGAGGCAGCCTTTAAGGCCTCTCTTAATCACAAAAAATAAAAGTGGACAATCTGCATCAGCGCTGGGGTAAAGGCACTGTAAGGGTGGGGTTAATTAACTGTGAGCTTGGCCCTATCTGAACAAAGTTTGAGAGAGTCTGAGCTCTTCTCTTAGCAAGGCGGCGTTTTATGGCTGGCTCTCTGAATGTGAGCTGTGGCGGACGGAAGTCAGATGCCTGAGTCTGCGCTCACTGCGCTCCTTTACGTGTGTCTGTGCTGGCGGGAACTCAGCCGTGTAGGTGATGGTAGCTCTGTAGCACCATGATGGCAGCAGTGCGAGGGGTTTTTGGTTTGAAAGCAGGTCTGAATTTCTAACTTATTTAATAAATGCGCTATATGAAAAATGGTGAAAAGATACTTCGCTGAGGTGACATGTATTGAGTGTCTTGACACGAACGTAAGTCTGACGCGTGATTGCTTGGGCTGGTCTTCTGAATGGGGCCAAAGAGCAGGCTGGAGCTAAAAGGGAGGCTTGGGCTCTCTTGTTGTGAGAGTGAGAGGCAATAAGGTTATTTCTTTGTAAAACTGTTGGCTGTATAGGGTGTAAACAACTAGTTTATTTGGAAATAGTATATTCCAAAGCCTCTGTGTGGAGGGTTTTTGTTTAGGAGGAGGAGGGGGCAGTGTTTTATTTTCAAGTTTGTTTTGCACGCGTTGTCCCTGGGTAGTTTACAAGGTGGATACGTACTACATACAGTGTAGGTATGTTGTCTGAGCAGTGCAGCCAGCAATTAAAATGCACATTTATGTTTTTCCTTCACAGGATCTTCCAGAGTTTTTTGAAGATAACATGGAAACATGGATGACAAATTTTCATAGTCTTTTAACTTTAGATAATAAACTTTTGCAGACTGATGTAAGTACTGCATAAGCCTCCTGGTTTGCCTCTGTGTAGTAGAGAGGGTTGACTGAGAGCTTAGACCTAACTCTGCACAATGCAATGTCATCTTTGCTGGAATAGAATGACTGAGGAAATGGGATTTAAGAGGAGTTGCTCCACTGTCTAAGAAATTTGAGGTCCAGTTCTTGAAGTTGTATCTAGATTATAGGTATACCCAGCTGTGCACAGAAGTCAACTTACAGATAATAATAAAAGAGTAGATTCTTTGGGGGGCATCTGCTGGACTAACCTGATCATTAAGAGTCACAGTGTTCAGGTTTTCTATGCCTTTCAGCCAGTTCATGCACTGTGTTTTAGAAAACAGATTATCTTAAAGGACTTGAAACAGTTGAACACAGAAGGCATGACATCCCTAAGTACTTCAGTGTAGCATTTGCTGTCTTTGTCTGTAAGAATTAGTAGTTTCACAGGGGAAAGATGACACCAAGTTCATCAAAGCACACATGAATTCTGTGTGTGCTTTCAGTATTCAAAATGCAGATGTCTCCCGGAGACAGTACAGCAGTTTGCCACTTGATGGAGCCAAAGCAACTCTCAGTTTCTTTACAGTACATTGGGAGGCAACTGTCCTGTGCTGTAGTTTCGCAGTTGTCTTAGGCCAGCGCTGATGCTAAAAGCAGCTTTGCTGCTCTCTTCTCTTGTACCTGTGGGCTCTTGCCCAGCACAGACATTGATGCAGCTGTGTGCTGAGCTGAGCCGAGTGGTATGCATTAAAGCTGAAAGGTGGGGCGAGGCTGGGGGTGACGGAACTGGGGTGGTGTTTGGTTGTTGAATTTTTTTTGAGTTCCAGCTCAATTTCACAATTCTCTTTGCTTTGTGGCTCCACAAGCATCTGTGCTGGTATGGGGAGGGAACTACTTTTATAACTATTCCACTTTAAAGTAGCAAGATACAATGTCTTCTGAGCATGTTTTTTCAACAACTTGTGTTGTCTTTTTCCTGCTACATTTGTACATTAATTTCACGTCAAACTTCATCAGGTCTAAATTACTTTTTTTAGCACTTTCATTTGAAATGCAGGTAGTATTTGTAACTTAGAATACAAATCACCAAAAAGCAGTGATTCTAGGGATGTGAGAGGGTCAAAATTTCTTTGACTTTTTTTTAGAACATGGTAAAATAATAGTGTAAATATTTCCTTCAAGTATATTGATACTTTTAATATTTAAGTAGTGTTGCAGTTTGGATGTTTAAGTTCTTCGTTTTGTTTTATGTGAGGATGAAGAGGAAGCTGGATTACTGGAGCTTTTGAAATCACAAATTTGTGATAATGCTGCTTTGTATGCTCAAAAATACGATGAAGAATTTCAGCCCTACCTGCCACGTTTCGTAACAGCAATCTGGAACCTGTTAGTCACAACAGGCCAGGAAGTGAAATACGACCTGGTACGTTATTATAAACTGATCTTGGCAAGTTTAATAATGAACTGTAAACTGGTCAGTCATGCTCAGGCTGTATGTGTTCTGTTTGTGGTGTTCTAGCTGGTCAGTAATGCAATCCAGTTTCTGGCCTCAGTTTGTGAGAGACCACATTACAAGCATCTCTTTGAAGACCAGAATACATTGACAAGCATCTGTGAAAAAGTTATTGTTCCCAATATGGAATTTAGAGGTAACTTTTTGAGACTTAAGTTTCCAAAGACATGATAAAATCCAACTGTAATTATAATGCTTTGTGGCTTTGCAGGACTAAGAATTGAGAATTACCACTTGTGTACTTCAGTACTAGATTTAAAACCAAGTTTCTAGAACAAATTGCTGTCCTATGGGCTTTGTAGGATTGTATGAATATAATAATGAATAAATACATAATTCTTCTGTTTTACTGGGATCTGAAATTGAAAAATATAGGAAGTCTAGTTCATGTGCCACCAATAATTTTTCATCAAGTTAGTACTGGAGGGAGTCTAAATAGGCAGTGTATCTGGCCTACTAAATTGTAATGCCTGTTTCTCCAAGCTTTGATGGGCTTATATTGATCCTGATATCTAAAATGTAGTGAAGATGTATTGCAGTGATAAGAAACTTCTCTCTACGTCTGTGACTCTGGAAGCCTTTCTAAGTGCACTCGTGTTGCATGTGTCCTACCTCTTTCTTTATTTCTTTTTTCCTTTTCTTTTAAATCAGGAATACACCAACTAGTGAGTATGAAAAACTAATCTGTGGGGCAGCTGCAAGCTAAAGAGGCTAGGCTGGATGAATACTTCTGCTTAATTTCTGTTAATGGTATAGAAGAGTACTTGGAAAAAGTAGCAAGTTTGATAATAATACCCCTTTGTACCATAAAAAAAATCAGACACCTCTGTTTCTAAACTTCTGTATATTTTGTATTTTCAGCGGCTGATGAAGAAGCATTTGAAGATAATTCTGAAGAATATATAAGAAGGGATTTGGAAGGATCTGGTAATCCACAGATTTATACTAAGAATACTTGGTCTTTAAATGTAGCTCTAAAGAGCTGAAGTCACTTACTGAAGCTTTTATAACTTTTTTTTCAAATTGGGAAGGTGTGTGTGTCCCTAAGGGATTTTAATCCAGGTTTTGATGAAGTTTACTGTCATGATGTGCCCATCACAGTGTCTTTTTGTTTTGAACAATGTTTTTGTAGTGTGTTTTCCTTAATTGGACTGGTATGTCTCCTGCACTGCACACATTCTTGTTTCAGCAAATATAGCCTGTAAGTCAATGCTGAATAGTGGCCACAGCGGTGTATTTAGTTCCTGTGTGTAGCAGTTTTAAATAACATGGAGAGACTGTGCCTGTATTTAGTAGTCTGTCATGTTTAAACTGAAATTCTGACCAGTGTTGCATACTAAACTGCCATCAAGCCAGCTGGACACCAGCCAGCCCTTGTACGTCGGCACTGTGTTCATACCAGTGCAGTAACGTCCTGAGAACACAGTGCTGGGTTAACAGAGCTGCTTGATTTTTCTGATTGTAGCTGCCTAGCCTTCAGCCAAGTCGGAGCACAAATGAGCCACATCTAGATATGTGTGACAAATCTCTATGTGCTGCTCTGTGCCACTAACAGCTTACTGACCGACACTTGTAGATTAACGACTCTTCGTCATAGATTGAAGGAATTGTTGTACCCTTGCAGTGGAGGAAGAAATTGGAGGAAAATGTTTTTTGAACTTTTTCAAGCAAATGTTTTACTCTTATCCAGGATTGGCTGTGTTTTAGGTGTTTTTGAAGCATTTTAAGACAATTGAAGCAAGAAGTATTTGTGTTCTTCAGAGATTACTTTAGAAATGTGCTCTATTGCGTTTGAATTGACTTGCTTTGTTTTCCTTCTCCTGCTCCTGTTGGTATATTGTCTTAAAGGCCAGCTGACCTTTTGTTTTCCATTCTTGAAACAAGGAATTTTTACAGTTTGGGTTTTTTTTGGAAATCTGTTTTGGTTTGGTTATTTGGCTTGCTTGTTCTTTAGAAAAATGTCCGGATTCAGTGTGGTGGGCCAGCAGCTGAGGTAAGCACCACACAGCAGCCTGCTCGTTCCCCACCCTGCTGTGACGGGATGAGGGAGAGAGTAGGTAAAAGTGAGAAGTTGTGGATAGAGATAAAAAACAGTTTAAGTGAAAGAAAGAGGAAGAAAAGAGCAGGGGGGAAGTAGTCAGTGGCTCACCACCTCCCACAGGTAGACCGATGCCCAGCCCATCTCTGACCAATAGCTCTGTCCCCTAAAGCTCTCTCCCCGTAACTTTTATTGCCAAGCATGATGTAATGTGTCATGGAATATCCCTTTGGGCAGTTTGGATCAGCTATCCGGGTTATGTCCCCTCCCAGCTTCTTGCCCACCCCAGCCTACGTGCTGGGAAGGGAAAAGAGAAAGCCGTGAGGCTGTGCAAGCACTCCTCAGCAACAGCCAAAACACTGGGGTGTTACCAACAGTTTAGTCGCCAGCACAAAACACAACGCCATATGGGCTGCTGTGAAGAAAATTAACTCCATCCCAACCAGATTCGGGTGTGTAGGTGCCAACATAGTAAAAGCCTCCTCCGGCATGCTCCCTGCAGCTTTCTTTTGAGGGCAGTGAAACCTGCGGGTACATGTGCAGTATTGGTAGGTGTCTGTTCCTCCTTTTGTGGTACAAATACTCCCTACTACGACAATAAGTAAAAGAATAGTCCCAATTATGACAGTAAGAAAAAGATTTCAGTGTGTTCTTACACATCAGTGTGGAAGATTGCAGTACTTAAGGTGGGGCTGTAACATCGGACACTGTATATCGTTATTGTGTTGATTAATATGAAAAGCTGTATACTTTCTTATATTCGAAGACTCTTTGGTTCTCACACAGATATTGACACCAGGCGCAGAGCAGCTTGTGATCTAGTCAGAGGATTGTGCAAATTTTTTGAAGGGCCCGTGACAGGGATTTTTTCTGGATACGTTAATTCTATGCTGCAAGAATATGCAAAGAATCCGTCTGTTAACTGGAAGCACAAAGATGCAGCTATTTACCTTGTTACGTCTTTGGCATCCAAAGCTCAAACGCAGAAGGTACTTCTACATTCTACTCATTTTAATCTGTACGCGTTCAAGTGTTGCACTGTGTGTAAGGATTGATGTGATCCGTTTTATGCTGCTTCAGAATGGGGGTAACTGTATTGGTAGTGGTTGAGTGTTGATGAGGTTGAAAGTTATCCGTTATGTAACCCTCCCACAGTTGGTCATTGGGTGGTATCTGATGTTCAGATGGATTGGGCAAAGCCAGCAACCATGTGTGACCGTTTGGCAGGTCTTGTGAGCGTGTGTGAAGCAGCCATACAGAGAAACAAAATCAGCTTGGGTCTGGAACCTCTGAGCTTTTAAAGGGTGCTGAGCCAGAGTTTGTTAGCTGTGCAAGGCCTTGTAAAGGGCAAATTTAGCTTTACAGAAAAAGATCAAAAGCAGGCTAGAGGAATCTGAGTGACTTCTAGTTTCTGTAATTTTATTTCCCAATATTTCCTGTTATTTGAGTGTTCATGATTTGGAAATAGATCATGTTGCTTGCTTAGGAGAAAGCACCTACTAGGCTGGATACCTTGAGAAGCCAGTCCTGAGCTAAACTGGTTTTGGAAACAGTAGCATTGTTTCAACTGTCCTACTGAAGAGAATTTTATGTATTAATAAATATTTTAAGTGTTATTGCAGTTCAGATCTCTGTGGATTTACAAAACAGATTTGAGGCCAACAGTAAAACATGTTGTACGGCATCTTAATGCAATTTTGCAGAAGGTTTTTGGTCTCTTCCTGAAACTCTAGTTGTATCCTGCTGCACAGCAATTGCTGATAAGTGATGCATAGCATGAACCAGTTCTCTAGCAATTAGAAAACTGCTGAGTTGTACATCTGTCTCTTTCTGTGCTGTTTAGTGGCAAATACGGGGTAACATCACTTAGAACACTTGATAAAGATCCATCTGAAAACCCTGTTTTAAAAAATTAGTTGCCGTTTTCCTAAGAAAAAACTAAGTAGTGATTTTTATTTTTTTTTCCTGTGATTCAGAATTGGTGTTTGAGTTCTGAACTTTTCCCTTTTCAAAGGCCTGTCACAAAGCAAAAGTGTCAAGTTAGTAAAATGCTGATATTTTCTGTCTACAACTTTGGTTGATTATTCCTGTGTTACATGCTGTTATTCCTCAACTCAGAGCCGGTAACTTGAAACCTCAGTACTGCTACAGCTGAAACCTAGGTACTAAACACATTAAGAAAAAGAAATTGGATCTTTTTGGATCCACAGTTGGATCAAAAATCTCATCACATGCATGCACGTTCTAGAGTCTTTCTATTAAAAACACATAAAAATGAGTAAAGCCTAATTGAATGTCAGCATGTAAAACCAGAGTTGGTCTGTTGTTTTGTTTTTCCAGCATGGAATAACACAAGCCAATGAACTTGTTAATCTGACAGAATTCTTTGTGAATCACATTCAACCTGACTTAAAGTCTGCTAGTGGTAAGTTTGATGTAAGTCTGATACATCTGCATCTCGGCAGCGACCATTGTTTCTTAAGGCGCACGCGTTCATACGTCAGAATCATCTCTGAGACAGGGAACTGTTAACACCCGGCACACGGGAAGGAATTCACATTTGTTTGGCTGGCAACGAATGAGCTTTGAAACAAAGGTGGGTTGCCACGTGCTGCCTGCAGGATCAGAGCATGTGTGAACCTGGTTGCTATCAGCTACACGCTTAAACCTTTTCCATCGAAGTAATTTGATTTCTGTATTGGAGACCTTATGGCAAACTTGTATGCTGTACAAAAGCCTGAGAAGTTAAAATGCTGAAGGCTAGGTTGCAGCCTGTATCAGCCTATATTGATGAGATTACAGATGTCTAGATTTAAGCCACATACTTTATTTTCTGCTTCAGCACTTACCTTACAATATTTGGAATGCAGTAGGTTGTTTTGGAATATGCAGTTGGAGACTGTTAAAATCAGAGCCATCAGGGCAATTTCATGCGGAAGAGTTAGGCTGCATATATAATGGTACTGGGCTATGATTTGTACCTAAAACTGCCCATGCAGAAATGCAGAAACTAAGCAACGTAGAGAAAAATTATGTGTATTATTTTTGAGGGGGAAAAAAAGTCGTGAATTATATATGTCACCCCTATATATAGTGTATGTTCAGTAATCACACTTATATGAAAAGTATAAACAAAATGTGCATATTTTTCTCTCACAGTGAATGAATTCCCTGTGCTAAAAGCAGATGGTATCAAATATATCATGATTTTTAGAAACCAAGTAAGTTTTTCTTTTACTCTTCTGGTAAAAACATATTGTAGCTTGTTAGTTTATACTTGCCAAGCCTCATTTATGTTACTTGGCCATATCTTAACAGGTGTTTGATAGTCACATATAACACTTCATGCTGAATTTTTAGTTTTGAAAGTAAATGATATTGTTATAAATATCCAGTTGCCATGTAGTCTGCATGCTGTCCATATGCTGTGGGAGCACTGAACATCTTAGCATGCTTGGTTTTGTGACACGCTCAAGACTCTTGGAGTGAATGTTGGTCTAAATAAACTTGATTGCTCATATTGTTGCAGTAGTTAGAGTACAACAACTTTGTCCTTTACCTTTTCTGATTTGTGAGATGCAGTAAGAAAATATACTCAGTATTATTTCTAAATTTTAGGTTACCTTTATCCATCTCTTAGGAAATATGTGTTTGGGGTTTTTTTTAAGCTTGATATGTTTTAGTTGCCCATCAAGACACAGTGAAATGGAAAAAGAAATACCTGTTAGGAATACATGCACTTACAGTCAAATGTAACTCTGGTGTTCGGGGGAAGTGTACAGGCAGTAACAGAAATAGGTACCTCTGGGCTGTCGGGGTGTGATTTAGCAACTGGAGCAGCCTTCTAAGATTTCTTCCCCTGCCAAGCTTCAGTTTGTAGCTGGTGAGCTCGAGGGATTATACTCAAGTGTTGAACCATCTGTATTTTTCTGTAACTTGCGTATAATTTGTTGCTATATTTTTATAGGTACCTAAAGAACAACTGTTGGTATCTATTCCTCTCTTGATCAATCACCTTCAAGCAGAAAGTATTGTGGTCCATACTTATGCAGCCCATGCTCTTGAAAGACTGTTTACCATGAGGGGGACAAACAATACTACCCTGTAAGTTTTCAAGGAGAAATAAATTCGTTGTTACATAGGTTTTGTCCATTAAGGATGAGAAATATCTGTAGGGGAATCTCTTATTTCTTAGTATTGCAGTATCGTAAAATGATTGAGGTTTGTAATTATCTTTCATCATTAACGAGCTGTGTTTTACTTAACAGCATTACAGCTGCAGAAATGGCACCATTTATAGAAGTGCTATTAACAAACCTTTTTAAAGCACTGACGCTTCCTGGCTCATCTGAAAATGAGTACATTATGAAAGGTAAATGTTTTTTTGAGTTCTGCAATATGAAAGTAACTTTGTTAACTTGAGGTAAAGGCTTACAGTTACAGGCTAGTGACATTTCTATTTGAAAAACCTAGTTTATGCAACCATGCTACAGTGGTATGTGCAGCCTGCAGCTATTTACCGGGCTGCATGAAGTCATCTTTGACTAAATTTATGATACCAGAGAAACACTAAACGTAATGGTATTGTGGCAAATCATTTCTCCAGTGGTAGTCCTTGTAGTCAGGACATTCAGCAGGGAATCTGCGTGGGGTATGGCTCAGAGTATGCCAAGATTTGAGACTTGCCCGGGAGAAAGGATGGTCTTTGCAAAGTTGCTTAATCGCCTGTGCTCCGTCTATAGAATGGGGATAATGAGGCTTTGCTTTATCCTTTGTCATCATTAGGGGTTGATAGCTCTTGCAGCAGGTGCTCTTTCTTGCTGTACCTAAATCCTTGGGATCCGATTTAATAGTAGAAGGTAAAGGATTTAGGCATATGATGGTTGGCAGAAGTGTTTGTCTCCAGAAGATAATACTTCCCATTTATTTGCAGCTATCATGAGGAGTTTTTCTCTGCTACAGGAATCCATAATTCCATACATGTCTTCTGTTATCACACAGCTTACGCAGAAACTGCTGGCTGTCAGTAAGGTAAAGAAACAGGCTAAGCAAAACGTGCGCTTTTTACCTTATACAGCAGTCTTTCTAAAGATTTATGTACATCTTCTTGTTTGTGATCTGTTAGAATATTAGAAATTGTTCAGTATTTTCTGCCTAAAATAAGTAAAAACAGCCTTCCTGTGAAGTACTGTCTCTGTTTTAGGACATACTTTCAAATCATTCCCTCCTGTTCTCATCTGAAATTTGGAAACAGATTTTGAAATCTTCTTGTAATACTAGTTTGTTGGAGTATAAATATTTGCTTGTGCAGAGGCCACCATTACCATAATCTGTTTTTCTCACGACTCCTTTATTCTTTCTCCATGAAGTTTCCGAGGCTAATGCTAAATTTAGGCACTGAAATGTGGGATTAAATTAATTACCCTCCTGCCTTTGGTGGATAAAAAATCTCTTAGGTTTTTTTTGTTCAGGCTGGACTAATGTTCTTGAACATCGACATTAGGGAATGCTTTAGGACATGTGCATCCACTATCTGAAAACTACTACTGTGTGTAGTTTAAACTTAGCCCCAGAGTATAAGAGGGGTTCAGTGAAGAATTGACTAGACACTTAGATGATTGAAAAATAGTGTTTTTCCAGTTCTTGTTTTGTGATACTTCTAACTGCTTTCTAGTTTATGTAGAGCTTCTGAAAAACACTTGCTGTCTTTTAAGTATTTATAAAACACACCACTCCTTTATGTGTTAACGGTTTTTACATTTGCTTTTATCTATGAAATTAATTTCATGAACATATTAATAAGTCAGTCATAAGTATCCTTATTCCCAATTGCTACTTTAGACTTCAGTTGAAATAAAAAATGTATTTTGCTAAGTAAGTGACTTGGCTGCAAGTTTGGGTTGATTTGTCTGTTTGTAACTTGTTTTTAGAATCCAAGCAAACCCCACTTCAATCATTACATGTTTGAATCGATATGCTTGTCAGTAAGGATAACGTGCAAAGCAAACCCGGATGCAGTTGGGGGCTTTGAAGAGGCTTTATTCATGGTGTTCACTGAGATACTACAGAATGATGTGCAAGGTAAATTAAAATCAGTAAGTGCTCGTGCTCTCTCTCCCCTATAATCGGTTGCTATGATCCACCTCACAGCAGTTTTTCTGCGACACAGGAAATTCAAGTGAGAGGGCAGCATGTTCACAGTGCTAATAAACACTTTGAGGAAGCGTTTGGATCGTTCCATAGGATACATCAACTGTATTGACTTACTTCTGAAGAAAATTCTTTTATTTTTAAATTATTTTATATTATTTAAAT